TTTTATGGTTAGGCGTGTGGTGGGGCCCTTAAGGATTTCTTGACAAAATGCTGTTGGGAGCACCTTGGTGTTAAATTTCTGGGAATGAGCCTTAATTAGAATTGTCTTTTAGAAAGTAATTTATAAGAAAGTCCCCAAAGACAGTTTACACTCTTGCTGAGACATGGTACTGCATGGTGGCCACCGGGCCAGGCCCTGGCATTGGTCCACGCTGCCTCACTCCCCGCCCTGTTTCCCCACCTCTGGCAGCTGCTCCCGAGGCTGAAGTGTGGCTTTGCTTGTTCGTTGGTCTCTTGCTGCCCTGCCGCATGTCAGGAGGACAGCTCTGGTCACACGTGTGCCCAGGGACTCATGCCTGGTAGGGCGACCAGTGCAGCCCGTTCAGACATTTTCCTCTTCTCTGTCCCAGGAAGGGAAAGCAGGTTTGGAATAAACAGAAAAGAGCGTAGAGGGAGTGAGTCTGCGTTTTATCCTGATGACTTCCTCTGACTGGTGGTTTCATCAGCTCCCTGGTCTTTTCAGCTTGGATTTGGGAACCTTCAGCTGAGAGCATTCAAAGTTCCTCTCTTCAGAGCTTTTCCCTCAAAAATGGATTGGGTGGGTAGGGTTCTTCAGGAAAGCATTCCCATTGCTGCTAATACATCTTCAGAAACCTTGGCCGACGATGCCAGCATGGTGACCTACCACCAGTACACAGGGTTGGGGGGCTGCAGCGTGCGGAGTGGGTGCGGGACGGCAGTGGGTGGGGTGTCCTGTGCTGAGCAGTGAGCATAGCCTTTCGCGGCCACTCATGCTGATGGTGGACATGGCTTTACACAAGAACGAACACACGTTTTGTAAGTAGGAGTTGAGAGACTATTCTGTTTTTAATACTGAAGGAACTCTCCACCCCTGTTATTAGAAATCTAGGTGTTTATGAGAAGGCTTGCATTTTATAACATTTCAGGCCATTTTCTGTACCATTAGAGAAGAAAAAGGATTAGAAACATGTAGTTCCGTTGTAATCTATGCTAGAAAAGAAATATAATCTGTCATATAGATATTCTCATTTGAAGAATATATGACTAAAAGCAAAGTTTTTTGAAGTGGTTTTTTACTTTTTGTCCTTGCTGTCTTCCTTCAGTAGTTTCTAAGCCTTTGGTAGTTTCATTGCTCTTTAAATTTGATTGGCCATACCTCATTCAAACTAGTAACTGCCCACTGAAAAATCTCACTTTCTATAGAAACCGCTTTGTCTATGTATCCTCATTAAACAAGTTTATTTTCCATTGCATTTGAGTAGATAGCACAAAACACCAACCCCCAAAGTGAACCGGCCTCTGCATCTCAAGCTGGCTCCCTTGCAGGACTTTTCATTGAAAGGATATAGGGCTAATTTATAATTTATTATTTCTTGGGTGGGCTTTTAACAACAGATTTACCTCTTAGAGATTCTCAAATACAGAATCAAGTCATTATGACATGCAAATATAGGCTTGATATTCTTTCCATTTATGCTTTCAGTCTAGAATTCTGAGATGGGCTTTTAAAGGTGGTGCTGTATCTTAAGAGTTGTTATGATTTGATTCTTCCACGGCAAAATCGTTTGTGTCTTAGGTTCTGGACAAAACCTTGTCAGTCCATGATGCCGCATCCATGGCGGGTTTACTGGAAGTCGTCGTGATTCTCTGGAAGAGCATTCACAGAAACATGGAGAGCAATAAGGAGGCCAGAGGCTACACTGTCGGCAAGTTCGCTTCTGTGCTCCCCGAGTACCTGAAAGTGTTCCAGGTGAGACCGGCACACTTGGCACAGGCGAGATGACATTTGTGCAGAGGTAGCGGGAGTGCCCCACCGTCCTCGTGCCTCTGCGGCCCAGCGCCTGCCCGGCAGGACAGCTGACCCCACGTGCCTGGCAGCTCTACACCCCACACCCAGAGAAACGTCGGGGCTGAGTGCTCGGGGCTTCTGTTTCAGTGGTCCATGACACTGTTTCAGAATCCAGTTTGATTTGCCAGGAATCCAGAAAGAGGAGTTTGCGAACATCAGGGTGTGCAGGAGCACCTCAGTTTCGTGGGCATTTAGGTGTTGACAACCACACTGTGAGTGCACGTGTTTCTGAAGTACTTGTGTCTGTGTTGTAGGAGCTGAGAACTGTGTGTAGTTCTCTGTGTGGACGAAGAAAGCCTTCTCATTACTTGACTTTATTTTCCTTCTGAAAGAAGTTCATATTTCAAAAACACATGAAAATAAGACAGCTAGTTAAAAATGCAGATTATTCCCTGTTATAAAGAGCATGGTTTAGGTGTAGAATGATCATAGGTCTTAGGAACCACCTGTCTCTTGGTGAACTTACTCCCAACCCTTCTACAGCTGCTCTGGGAGCCTGGTTTCTGCGACTGACATGTCTGAGCAAACATGTCCTGTCCACAAAAGTAAATAATCTACTTTGCTGAAGTTCTAGTACATTTAAAGCTCAAATAATTACATCGAAGCCAACATCATCTCAGGATTCTCAGAAGATAAACACAGATGCCCATAGGATACCGTATGAGATGGCAGATGAGCAGTGTGGCCTAGGCTGTCTAGGAACCCAAGGAAGACAGTTAATTCACTTAATTCCAAACGATTCTGGCAGGAGAGCTTCCCTACCCTTAGAGCTCAGAGAAGAGGTACTCATCCTGTAAACAAATAAACACTCTAAGTTGCACATAGAGTAGAATCAGCAGTGATAATCCGTCAACTTGTAACATTAAGATGTTTTCTTTATTGGGGTAAGGGTGGGTTCACTCTAAGTGAATGCGAGTGAATGACAGATCATATTCTGATGTTGCTCCTGTTTCTGTTTCATGTATATTGAAGAAACAGGGAAGTCATTTCTTTTCTTTTTTGGGGGGATCCACCATCCCTCATTTTCCCAACCAACCAAGGATATTTTTTATTACGTTTCCTTGATCAAGTCTGGTCTACTGTTTGCTTTATTGTTGTAATAAAACAGTAGTAGTGTAGCTGTAATTTCTTGAGCACCATGGTGTCCCAGGTGCTGTGGTGGGCCTGCTGCAGTCCTCACTCAGCCCTTCCAGCGACCCATCCAGCTGGGCGGGGGCGGAGGCGGAGGCCCACAGGCCAGCCTCTGCTCCGCGTTGCCCCAGCCAGGTCGTGGGATCTGCTTGGACTTAGATTTCGCTGGCTGGCTCCAAAGCCCATGTGTTTACCATTGAACTACACTCTCTTCACAACGATATTCTGACTGTTTTATTTAAAAAATTTTCTCGGACTAGTTTCATTTGCTTGAGATTTATGTTTGGGATACCAGGTATATCACAGTTAATTTTTTTCCTTTCGTCGATATTGTTTTTTACAATAAAAGTCAGAATCTGGCAGGAGGAAATCTCATGCGTTCTGGTTACTGGTGTACTCTAGGATCTAGATTGGTGCCTCGCACACAGTAGGTGCTCACTAACTAATTGCACAAGTTTGTACGTCACACAGAGGAGTACAGTGTCCCGTGGAAGTCTGAGAACAGTCGTCAGTGTGAGGCTTTCCAGTAGGTGGGTGTCCCGCTCAGTGTGGAGAGGGCTACCTAGTCTTGTTCCCATGAGTGTCTTTGAAAATAGGACGTCAGGAGTTGTGTGAGGAGGCTTTCAAACGTTGATATATGTGTTTTGTCTTTCTCTTTATGCTTTTAGGATGACCACTGCAAGACGCCTTTGTTTATGCTGATGTCCTTCATGCCGGCCTCCTCCGTGCCTGCATTCAGGTACCCGCCCTCCGCTTGGGCAGTGGGGCCCTGCGCGGCCCTTCATCCTGCATCAGCACACCGTGCACTGCAGCCCGGGTTCCCAGCGCCTCTCCCCGCCCCTCCCACCGCTGCTGTGGCCGGGAAAAGAGCAGGGCACCCTTCCTGCGGGTGCTGGAGCCACCAAGCAAGGCCGCAAGAGACTCCGTGGCGCTCGAGCCAGCTCTCGGCTCTGAAGTGGGGGGTGCTTTGCGAGCCCAGCGTGGGGCCTGGAGCTGCACCCTGGGCTGCCCTGGCTCCGACACCGCTGCAAACGCAGCCGTGAGTGCTGAGGGGCGCTGCGAGTGCAGAGCGCACGGGGACACGGGGACTCGGCTGAAGGGACAGTGCGGACTGGCTCCTCCGCTGTTTTCTTTACTGATCACGTCTTAAAGTGATAGTGTAGCTAGGTTGAGTTCAAGATGTTTCTGGAATTCCTTTTACCTGTTTGACTTTGGTTAGTTAAATGTAGCTACTACAGAATTTATCATGACATAAGGGGCTTGCTTTTGTGGCTTGCATTATATTTTGTATTTGACAGTTTTAGTTATTAGCTCAGTAAAAATTACTTATTTTTATTCATATTTATGAAAAAAATAATGTTTTGGTGCTAAACAAAAATTGTTGCCCCCAAATTAGAAATCTTTGCTCTGGAGTCCGATGGAATCGATGCAGAAACGAAGGGCTGGGGTCGTGTGACTGTGTCTATGTACGTCTGGGCCGTGGTGGCTTCAGTGCTCCTACAGCTGCTTTCAAACTCTTTTCTGCTGGCACTTGCCCCGGTGGCGCTCGTGGGGAAACGGAGCGCTTCCCGCTGCGCGGAGACTGTCCCAGGGTTCCTGTGCTAGGGGGCCCAGTGCCCTCAGTTCTTGGCTCCTTTATCTTTCTCACCTTTTAGAAAAGTTGGGAACTGCTGTTGAAACATTCGGTCTGACTTCATGCTTTTGACATTTTCAGCTGTGGTGTGATTTCCACGTTAAGAAACCAAGAGGAAGGGGCAGCAGACAGGAGCTATTGCACTTTGTTAGACTGTCTCTGTTCCTGGGGACACGTGGGGCACATTCTGGAACTCGTCTGCGACTGGCTGCCGGAGGAGCAGCCGCAGAGAAAGGTGCGTTTGTGCCCATGTTTCTCTACCATTCTCTGGCTGAGGAGAAGCGCGTGTTAGGGATTAGATGCTCGCGTGGGAACTCGTTGCTCTCCTCCCTCTCAGAGTAACTCAGCGTCCAAGCGGAAGGTGCGGATCCATGATACGCGCCCAGTGAAGCCGGAGTTGGCCTTGATTTACATGGAGTACTTGCTGACCCACCCGAAGAATCGGGAGTGCCTGCTCTCTGCTCCCCACAAGAAACTGAACCATCTTTTGAAAGCACTTGACACATCAAAGGTAACTTGTAAACAGACGCAGACACCGTGAGCACTGAGTGGTCCCATGAAATAGGAGTGATCAAGTAAGATGTCACCTTCTCACATTCATAGGGTAAAGTTTCCAGCTGGAAGGAGTTGAGAGTTATCTAGCCCCCTCTCTCAGTTTGCAGGGAGGACTTGGGACTCGGGTGACTGACTTGGGGTGGGGCAAGATGGGGACTACTTCACAATTTCTAGGGCCCGGCCATGTTTAGGGCCTGGCGTTCTGTCCAGTTTGGTTCCGCAGACAGCCCTGTTTCTCAGCGCGCTGTCTGCGGGGCCCTTTCTGTCACTGCGTGTTCCCCTGCCCCGCTCCCGTCGGTTGTCGTGGGAGTACCAGCTTCCCTCAGAGGCCCTGGCAGGCTCTTCTAGGACTCTGGAGAGTGTTTCCTGTGAATGTCACCATTTCCTCCTCTGCTCCCTGGTTCCCTGGCCATGCGCAGGGCAGGGCCTGTAGTGCATGGCAGCAGGCATCGGGTGGGTAAGAGGGTGTCTCAAGGAGAAGGAGGGGTCTGGTGGGAGCTGGTGGCGAGCCCAGTCCCCGCTCTGTGTTCCTCAAGCTGTCTGGTGGCTCCTGTCCAGGGGCGAGGGGCAGGTGGGCAGCATGGCAGTTCCCCTGTGGGCTGAGCTGGGCGCTGGCTGCACTAGGGGAGAGAGTAGGGCTGCCTGTGGCTTCTAGAAAAGTGGAAGCTGTGTTCCTCGGCGGGGGCACAGCTGGCATTACCGCCTGTGAAATGCTGCGCGGACCCCTCCCCATCGTGGCTATGACCAAAGCCCACAGCCACGCATTTCCAGAAGCCAGGCACAGCTGCTGTTAGGAGGCCTGGACGGGCTGGAGGTCCCCACTCGTGGGGACATGGCCTTCCTGGAGGGCCTGCCTTTTCCTCCGTGCTGGTCAGTCCTGACGGGGCTGCCTTCGGGCCTCACTGAGGTCAGGTCAGAATTCACCCTGGAGGCAAAGGCTTTGGCGTGCTCGATCCTCAAGGCTCCTTAAGCAGTAGCTTCAAAGTCACTTTCTTGTCCCTTGTGGGGGAGAGTGTGCAGGGGGAGGAGGGAAGGCTGAACTTCGTGGAAAGCTTTGCTGTGTTATGGGACCACCTCCCGCTCCTGGACTCCCTCTCCCAGTGTGGCCGTGTGTCCCCTCCTTCCGACTGTTCTCGCCATACATGGGGTGACTTGTCAGTGGGAGCACGGCCTGCAGGCTTTTTGTTTTACAGGTAGACCTGGAATCAATTTTGCAGTCACCAGATGGGAAACCTCAGAACTTCACTGAAGCGACTGCCTTGCGTGCCTTCAGCCTCCACTGTCGCCTGAGCATTCACCTTCAGCACAAGGTGCGTGAGCCTGGGGCTCCGTCCCAGAAGAAGCAGAATGTCGCCAAAGCCAGCTCCGTCACTGATTTCTCTTTCTGTCGTTGTTGGACAGTTCTGCTCAGAAGGAAAAGTGTACCTGTCCATTTTGGAAGACACGGGGTTTTGGTTAGAAAGCAAAGTTTTGTCTTTTATTCAAGATCAAGAAGAAGAATACCTGAAGCTTCGTAGGGTTATTTACCAGGAAATTATCCAGGTTAGAGCTCTTGAGACGCAGAAACCTTTCTTCCCCAGTTTGCAATGTGCTTCAAGATTTTCTTTTCTATTTTAAAGTCATAACTTTAGACAGTAGTGTTGCTCTTCTTAAATACTTATGGTGGCATTTGAATCCGTAGAGTTTATCTGTTCACAAATCGTGAACACTGCATAATTTTAATGTGATTTTATACATTGCAGGTAATAGGTGTTCGGTAATGTTGTGGAATTACATAAAATGTGTTTCTAGATTTCTTATGCAAATAAAATGAGAATTAATGTATCTGGATATTCTTTACAAAGCATCTTTGTAAATATCTGCTGTCTGAGCTAACTAGGACTTGATCATCTGTTAGAAGCTTTACCAGCTGGATTTTTCCTTTTTTTTCTTTCTCTGGTCTTTGTTGGTGAGTCATACCCACACAACTGTCTCTTACAGACCTACCTCACTGTGTGCAAGGACGTCGTGATGGTTGGCCTTGGCGATTGTAGGTTTCAGATACAGCTGTTACAGCGGAGTCTTGGAATCACACACACAGGTACACTTCATTCATTAAAGGACGGGTTTAGAACCATTGACAATCAAAACCAGGCCCTCTTTTCTGCCCTCATTGTGCTGGTCAGGACTCTCTCTTTAAAGTGACAGATATGTAACACCAGCTAGCTTATGCCAAAAAAGGATTTTACAGACTGATAACAGCCAGGAAGTTCAGAAGTGTTTCTGGTGTTGGATATGACGAAGTCCAGAGTTTCTGATGAGGCCTTGGGGTCTCTTCCCTGTGGTTTGTTGATTGTCAAGTGACTTGGCCATGTGTGGACTAGTGCAGAGGCCGCCCAGCTGGTCTGCTGCTCCCTGGCACCCATAAGGCAAAGCTTACACAGAGTTCTTATCTGCCCTGGGTGCATGGGGGGGGTCAGGGGTCGTTTAATGCCCCCTCCCCTCCAGCACTACTGGGGTGTTGCTGTTACTCCAAGGACAGGGCAACCCCGGGGACCAATGCCACGGTTCTCACACTTGCCCCACACTTGATGCCAAGGTGAGTTTGTTGAGCGAGTGAGGGGCCAGCCACCTGAGCCCCTAGGGACCCATCCATGGGTCCCAGGGCTGTGTCTTCACAGCAGCGTCACATGACGCCGGGAGCAGTGGGGCTGTTTCCTCCGCCTCTGTTCAGTGTCTGTGCAGAGGATGGTGCTTACCAGGATTTCCCTGGGCAGGATCACCTATGGGGTCATTCTTATGGCCCTGCCACAACTAGGATTAATCTTAGCCACCTAGCTAGGTAGCCCCAGAGTTCACCATTCACTTGGCTTTTTGCTTCATTTGGAAGAGTCCTAATATTTTAATTTAAAAACCAGTCACATATATATTATTAATAATTAAACACGGCCTTCTCCGTGCCGAAGTGTGTATTCCAGAAGAGATGTTCTTGACTACAGCTGAGCCCCCACATGTAACCCAGGCGGAGAAATCTAAGCTCACGAAATTGCAGAAGCTCCCGCTGTAACACAGTATGTGTTTTGAAAATCAGGCACTGAAAGTGACAGGGCTGGGAAAAGGCGACTTGGGGCTAGCTGTTAAGACTGCTGTGTAACAGCACTAAGAAATGATCGTCCTAGCGAAAAGTATCAGCACGGTTAGGAAGGAAGGTTACATTAAGAAATGTAACCTTCCTTCCTAACCGTGCTGATACAAAAACAGAACTTCGTCTTAAATGAAAAGGTAACTGAAGGCGATGGAGACCACGGCCTCTGCCGGAGCTAGGAGACGGAGCCCCGCGGGAGGACCGGCTGGGCCGTTCTCTGTGGCTGCTGCTCCTTTGCATACGGTTGGTGGCCTGAGATTTTAACCTGCTGGGGAGCAACAGAGGCCAGCCGCGAAGAGTTAGACGACGTCACACCCAGCTTGGCATTGCGTGCGAGCCGCTTCCTCCCCGAGAAGCAAGAGCTTTCAGTCACTGTCTTCTGTTTTACATAGTTGTGGGTTCCGACACATCTTCAATTTTTTGTCGTATGTTGCGTTACGTAACCTCTGCATCTATCTATCTATTTGGTTAAAAAGCATATAAAGCTTAAATATAATGAAGTCGCTTTGAGTTAAATTTTTAACTTTTCAGATTTTTGAAATTCTAGATACTGGTTAAGGGATTGGTTCTGGCCCACGCCCCATGACTGTGAGCATGGGTGTAAGGGGCAGGCCCTGTTGTTTTCAGGTCCTTTCTTTTCAGTGCATTGGCCTCCACTGAGCTGTGTGTACTTTATTTAAAGGACTCGCTGCTCCCTTACTGCCTATTCCACTCAGATGACTTAACATTTGTGGAGAATGTGTTTTCCTTGCCTTTTAAATATAAGATATTAGCTTCTTGAAAGTTTCTACTATGTTTGCAAAGATTTTAGAAACTTTTTGTTGATTCTGGTAGTGCCGTAGATCTCTTGAAGGGTTAACTCAACTGGAATACAATGTTTGTTTTATTTACTTTAGCAGATAAACTCAGATTTGGGTTAATTTCTTATCTCTGTCTCAAGTTGAGCTTACTGTATCTTATTAACCTGTTTTATAAACAGAGCTTAGTTCAAGATCCCTAGGATGAATTGTAGGATTAGGCTCACACATGGAAAACTTCTTACCACACTGAGGCAGCAATGAAGGTGGTGATTCGGAAGAGAAAGACAACCAATAAACTACAAGTGTTAGAAAGAAAGTTAACAGAGTTCACCAACGAGATTGTTAATCATATTCTGAAAGCTCTTGGGCCATCTTCTGACTTGTACTGTAGAGCTGGTGTTGATTTGATGTCATCGTTACATGAGAAATAAGACAGTTCTCTAATCCACGTGTTCAAAGAACCACACTGTCCACATGTGCAGTAAGCATGGTTCTTAGTGACTGAGTCAATTATGCTGTTGCTGAAGGTATTGGTTTTATGTTTATAGGAATGTGTTTTATTTATCCCTGTTAAAATTTAGATTAACCTGATTGACTTGGTATTGGCTTACCAGTAACGATCTCTTTCAGGTTACCCTAATACATATGTAAGTGAGTATGTGTAATAATTTCAACAGAATTATTTGATTAGATAACTGATTTGTTCAATTTTCTTTCTAGTGAAAGGATTCTTTTATGTTTCATTACTTCTTGGCATTCTAAAAGAGGTAACCGGAAGCTCCTTAAAGCAGAAAACAGATTCAGATGGAGACGTTGCAGCGCTGTTTGATATGGTCCAGAAGGTCTTTCAGAAAATGTTGGAATGCATGGCGTGGAACTTTAGGAAGCAACCGGAAGAAGGCCTGCGGGTACTCATGTCTTCGCAGGGTGGGATTTTTAGACATTGGGTGGCAGCGCTCATCTGATGGACAAGGAAGGGTGCCTGAAGTATGTCTGCTCACCCGCAGGCTGTTAGCACAGTGTGTCGTGGGGTGTTGGGTTAGGTACAGCGAGGTATAGGTGCCATCCTTCGAGTATGCTTGCCAGCCTTCTTCATAGCATGGCACACTCTGGTATATGAGATGGCAATATCTGCACCTGGGCAGGAGGTGAGGGTGGACCAGAAGCTTACCTGTGACTGTCAGCCTTGGGGTAGGTGTTTGTGAGTTCAGGTCACGGACCAGCAGTGAGAGCCCATCTGCCAAGCAAGACATGAAGCAGTGAACCAGTTCCAATAGGCTCCTGAGTGCTCAATTATTATTTCATAGGATTTTCCAAATAAAATATACTTTTGAAAATGTTAATTTTGATTATCTGTAGATGACAAAGACTTCCCCCCCACACATCCCCCAAGGAAATTCTGATTTCTGTCTTAGATAACTCTCGTATATACTACCCTCCAGTTTGGAAGTGAGAGTCACAGAGATGGCAGGGCCCATGGGTCCCTTTGCTGATTGGATGCAGACGTGAAGTAGATATTGAGTGACCCGGGTACCAAATTTGCTTTATTCCTAAAATCATTGTCATCAGAGAAGGCTATAATTTTTCCTAAGTAGTATTTTAAAAATATGAATGAACTATTGTTTTTTAATGAAAAGAATTTTTTAAATGCTTACATGGGAGGATGGTTATGAAATGGTGAAAACTTTCCTTTTTATTCTATTCTTAGCTGATAGAGGCAATTAAAGGTCAATGGCTGTATTTTCTCTAACCTGGTTCATATCTGAGTTAATTCAGAATGTTTCTGTTTTTAATGACTTGGTTCAGGTATCTGTGGTCTGTTTATGTAACGTAATTTGTGCCAAAATCTTTTATATTCTCATCAAATCTTTTACCATTGGCTGTGCAGCTTTATTCAGAGCGTATGGCCTTATAGTTGACATTGGCTTTTAATGTCAGTGGTATTTCTTCATCTTTTCTTTCTTTCTTTTTTTCTTTATTAATATTATTGATACTTTTGTCCTTGGGACTTTTTCTTTGCTTTTGGGGAAGGACCGTTGGGAAGGTCGTGGGCTTCGGTCCTATCTGCCCTCTTCTGGCAGTGGAGGCTAAGCTTTGAGGCAGCAGCAGGAAGGAATGGGTGCTGATGGAGGGCAGATGACATTAGTGCTCCCTACCCCGGGGTGGACGGTGGGAATACTCTTCTTAAAGTGTCTTTGTTTTAGCCACTAAAAACTACTGATGTGCCTTGTTGTAGCTCCTGTGTTCTGTTCAGACCCCTCTGCATGATTTTATAACGACCGTTCAGTCGTGGCATGAGGACACGCCCCTTCACCGAAGTGTGCTTTCCATTCTGATCGCTGCCTCTGTCGTCGAGATAAGTCACCAACTACGAAAGGTGAAGTCTGTTGGTCCTGAAGCTACTGTGTTCCTTTTTGACTGGACAGATGCTCTTTTGTGACAACAGCACATTTTTGTTTTATTTTTAAAAACTCACAGTTAAGTGGCGTCTGCTTCTCCAGCAGCTGGACCTCACTGTGTCATAGCTAGTTTGTGGTTTTGAGTCATGTGACTATTGGGAAAACATGTTAAGGGTGTTGTCATTCTTGATTATAACCAAACTAGTCCTTCCATTGCAAATATTTCTGTTTGCCGTATTTTAGAGATTTAAGTGAACTGGTAACATTCTTTAAGAGCCCTCTCTCTTATGAGGCAAAGTCCTGGTCAGGGGTGAGCAGGAAGCCAGGGCGCTCGCGGGCTGCACTTGGCGCCGGTCCGCATCTCTGCCTCGCTGCGGCAGGATTCTTTCCTAACTTCCGGGAGCGGCGTGAACAGGTGATGTGTTCACCCCTGGCTGTTTGCCTAGAAATAGCCTATTTTATGTTTATATGATTAGCCTGCTCGTTAAAGATTGTCATAATCAGGATGAGAATTTAAGTCAGAACAAAAAGTGCTGTTTTTTCCACATGGAATCCTCGGTGTATTGAGGGAGGGCACAAAATAGGGACTGAAGAAGATAGTAAAAATGATGAAAAGATGCAGTCTGGCAAGGAATATCATGGGATTATATAAATGTATGTATGTATAAGTTCTAGATTTTGCATTTATAGATCATGAATATTAAAAAGTTATCTAAATTATAAATCGTTAATAGAATTCAATGCCCTCCTTAAAACTTGAAGGGAGGTCACTTGGTTTAAGAAAGTAATTACTAGACTGCATAGATAAGAACTAGAAATTATTTACTCCACTGAACAATATAGCTAACAACTATGAGTCAGTTAATGGCTCGTGGGCCGACCTGGCCCCCCACCCGCTTTTGTGAATAGGTTATTTTGGAGAGCAGCAGAGTTGAGTAGGTGTGAAGATCGTTTTGCCCACTAAGCGACAAATACTTATGGTTTTATTTAAATTTCACTGTCTTACTGTGCTGTTCTGTGTCCTCACTGATTTTGTCTGTCTGCCTGTCCTCTGTGCAAGCTACCACTGTGGTGGCTTTTCCTTCCCCGCATATGGGAACTTTGTCATGAGGTGCGTGCACACCTAAGCGTGTCATGTCTTTTTGATGGATGGTATTGTTATTGTGGGATGTCTCTTGATCTCTGCAATACTGTCCTCATGCAGGTGGCATTGTCTGGCGTTTTTTATTTTGCATAGCATATCTTTTTTTACCCTTTTACTTATAACCGTGTTTCATTATGTTTAAAGTATGTTTCTTATAAATACCACATGGGTTTTTTTTTTTTTTTGGCCCAGTCTTATAATTGGGGTGCTTAATCCCTTGATTTTAATGAAGTTATTGATATCTTTGGGTTTAAGTTGCCCATTTTGCTGTTTGTTATTAATCCCCCTACCTTTTTCCTTTCCTGCTATTTTTTGATGAATCAGGTTTTGGTACTTTATATTATACTTTGTGTAATTTTTTAATGGTTTCTCTCATCAGTCTCCCTGCAGAGATTCTGCTATACCTGCACGTCACACGAGCCACAAAACAGGTTCTTCCAATTAGCATCTTCCCGCCCCTGTGTTCTTGTTACCTAGTTTGCTTGTACATACGCTAAAAATCTCCAGATGCATTTTTGTTTTAACTAGTCAGTAGTCATTTGTGTCTCGCATCGGAAACACGTGGACTGCATTAAAGACGTAAAGCATTTTAATGAGAAACAGCGCCATTTCACGTGTGATGGTGACTGACTTTAACATCCAAATCAGCGTTCCAGACCCCAGCAGAGGAACTGTGGGAAGGCTTAGGGCAGGGGTGGAGCGGGCATGGCCACCCCTCAGCTACAGGTGGGAAACAAAGGCGTCCTGGATTGGGGCTTTCTCCGCGTGCCCTCGGAGTTCATTCTCTGATGACAGACGGCTTTCCACTTGTAAGGTCCGTGGTAAAGGCCAGAGGTCCGCGGAGAGCCCCTCTGTAGGTCCAGATCAGCGCTGGGCACTGTCCTCCAGAGGATGCTGGCCGCATCGGCAGACATTTCGCTCCTTACAGCGGGGGGGGGTGGTGCGGAGTCCAGGGAGGCTGCGTGATACCCTGCAGTGCTCGGTTCCCCCACATCAAGGGATCACGCTGCAAAATGCCAGTAATGCCGAAATGGGGAAAACCAGATCTGGACTACAAAGAACAATGAGTTAAATTTGCTTAGCGTTAAAACACAGAAGATGATGCAAAATTAAAGGCTACTTGACAGAAGGCTTGTTGAGTGACATGTCTGTCTTTTTTCTTTAACTAAAGACGCCCTGTGTATAAACTAGGGTAATCATAATTATCGTAGAAATTTTAAGTTAATAAAATCATTCTTTTGAGTTTTTGGAAAGCCTTTCTCAAGCGTTGAAGAAAACCCAAAGCAGTGTAGAATAAGTAATCTTATGAGTCTCCGTCTCAGTTTATAAATACTGATTTGAAACTTTTTTTTAGGTTACGGATGTAGAAGAGCTTACCCCCCCAGAGCGTCTTTCAGACCTTCCACCATTTTCAAGGTGTTTAATAGGAATAATAATAAAATCTCCGAATGTGGTCAGGTAATCATGTTTTGCTGTCCTGATACCTGTATTGTGGCTGTGAGCTCTCAGCAGATTCTGCTCTATTCTTTTTACTTTCGGAATTTCTCAGAGACGCATTTTGTTCTGTGACAAATAATCCAATGAATTTTCTCTCATTTTATCAGTGTTGGAAATATTTACATTTTACTTATACGAAGAGAAATTCTAACTTTCTGTAAAATATATTCATGCAAATAGTTTCTGGTTATGCTTATTATAACTAAATTCAGTTAGAGGGAAATATTTAAAATGTGTAGTAAAATACTTCTTACTGTGTAGACTCCAAACACTTGACTAGGGTACATGCCGGTGTGGCGGTCATTTGGCGCACAGTTTTTACGCATTTCTGTAGTCCGTGTGTCACGTGACCAAAAGTCTAGGCTTGTGGTGGCACATACAGGACTGCTGGATTAAAGAAATAATAATTTTGCAGATATCTGATATCTGTGGAACTTTGATAGCAGATATGTTCAATGAAAACTTTAAAATATCATTTTTAGCAGCTATGAATTATCATTCAATAGCATGTTAAATTTTGCTGTGTGTATTGTGGACATACAGAGTAGCTTTTTTCACTTACCAGAACATCCCATTTTCTTTCTAACAATGTCATCTACTTTTAATGTCTCATCTCTATGATTTTGCATACTGATAGTGAAAAGTATGGGAGACGTTTAATGAACTTCCCATGTCACCTGAAAACTGGAATTCGTGGTGGCCAATGGAGCTTACCTACATTCGTTTTTCTATAAAGTATTAAGCTGTATACTATTGAGTAATTTCAGGTGTTTATTTTTTTTGCAGGTCATATTTAGATGAATTAAAGGCATCTGTTACTTCTGACGATATTGAAGGAATTGTATGTCTCACAGCCATTATGCATATTATTTTGGTTATTAATAAAGGTTAGTTAAATTTCTCTTATGTCGTCTGGGCTGTTGCTGGGTATATCTCAGTCAGAACTGTTATGGAATGTTGGGGAACTCAACTCCCGTGTTTGATGAGGTCCTTGCTCTGACATTTGTTGTTGGCCAGGCTCCCCCTATGCGGCTGACCTTGTATTGGCCAGTATACCCACTAGCCCATGCTCTTAATGCACTTCCTGTCCCCTGTCACCGTTCCCCACTGGACCCTCTATGTATCTCACTGTGCCTCATAAATGAATTTCTATTTGTCATGTTTTACTTATGTTTAAAGATCTGAATGTATCTTTGTTAATGATGGTATGTTTTGATGTTGATACTTAATTCATCTGCTGTGCCGCTTAAACCCCAACCTTGACTCTTGTGAATATCCCAGCCAGTTGAAAAATAATCGGAGATACCTATAAAATGCTTACTTCAGTGTAAAAGATAAATAATGTCCTGCAGATAGGCTACTGTTAACTTTATTACTTTTTGTTCTGTTTTAACAATGTTGAAATTATTTTCTAAGGTAGTAAGGATGCATATATGTCTTTAGTTTCATGATAATACTTTGAAACTAGTTTGCTATGTGTCAGAAAAGACTTCCCTAAGAGAGCATGCCCAGGATGAGGGGACATTCTTTATGTGGAGCGTGGGAGGATGGAGGTTGGGCTTCTGATGAGCTCATAGTACTTAATAAGTAGTTAAATATTTGCCAAACAGATGGTGACTCTGAAATGTGGTAGTTGTCATTTCTGATGGAGGCACAGGTGAGCATGGTCTCTGATGGCATGGACAGAACTCATGGGGTCATGGTCATTGGAACTCTACCTCAGAGCTGAGAGATGCTTTTATCTCTTTGTTTGATCCTCTCACATCCCTGTGAAGGGGACAGTTACTGTCCACAGGTCACTAAGCGGGTAACTCAGAATAACAGGGAGGCTCACTTGTATTGAAATCGCCTGCATTGATGGCAGAGCATGTTTGTTTTTGTGTGCTAGTGTTAAAATCTTTTTTCCATCTCTAATATAATTTTCCCATAGGTAAACATAAAAGTTCAAAAGTGAAGGATGTTGCCGCCACTGTTCACAGAAAACTAAAGACATTCATGGAGATCACTTTGGAAGAGGATAGCATGGAGAGGTAAAGTACTGGTTATACCCCAACTGTGATTATCTGAAAACTACTAGTTATTCCTTAGGTGTATTTAGATCACGTTTTTGTTTCTGCTATTACAGGCAGGTCATTTGAAAATTGAGGATTGTAAGGACAGAAACATTTCTGTTGGCAAAACCAGTTGAACATATGTTTAATTTACTTCTATTTTTGTCTTCAAAAACAAAATTCATTTGCAAAATTCTGCTCTAGAAAAGTAAGGGCATACAAACTTATTTTATATGGTTTTAAAACTAGACAGATCATTTCTGATGGTTTGCTATGTTTTTGAAACCCTGGGCATTCCTAAGATAAAATTACCCCACCCACAAGCATTCACTCTGGGGATGGGAAAGGTCCCCCCAGAGACTGAAGAAGGACGTGTCATCTTTCTGGGTGGCCCATGGCTGCCACGGGGACTGCTGCCTAGAGATGTGTTCACTAAGCTGCTTTTCCAGCTGTGTGTTTTGCTGTCATATTCTGTATTTGACATACTGTACAAATTCCCGCTAATGCTGTGATGAATTGTGTTTGACTCTCAGACCAGGCACAAAGGATTGTTTTTCCTGATGTTTTATGAACTTCATAAGGTTAAATGTCACAGAGTTCTCAACTAGGTAATTAGATTTATATATGACTGGGGAACTAGCGACTTTCTCCTTTGGAGAAAGGCTTTCAAAATCCTAAATTGCTAACTAGTGAATAAAGAGTTTTGTTTCTTCCTTCTCAGTTTGCACACTTTTTCTTCCCTTTTCTTGTCTCATTGCATAAGCTGGGACTTTTAGTACAGAGTGGGAAGGGGGCACCCTCACCTTCTACTTTCTCACCATTAAGTATGATGCTAGCTCAAGGTTTTTTGTAGATATTCGTTATCAAGTTGATGAGTTTTCCTCTATTCCAAGTTCGTGAAGGTTTTTACTATGAATGGGTACTGGATTTTTATCAAAAGTTTTTTTTGCATCTGTTGATATTATATGATTTTTCTTCTTTAACCTTTTGTTGTGATGGATTATATTAACTCGTTTTCAGATGTGGAACCAGCCTTACATACCTGGGATAAATCCCACTTGATCATGGTGTATAATTTTTTTATACATTGTTGGATTTGATTTGATAATATTTTGTTGAGTATTTTTCCATCTGTGTTCATGAGAGATATTGGTCTGTAGTTTTCTTGTGATGTCTTCGTCTGGCTTTGGTATTAGGGTGATGTTGTCCTCATAGAATCAGGTAGAAAGTATTTCCTCTGCTTCTGTGTCCTGAAAGATCGTATGGAATTGTTTATAATTTCTTCTTTAAATATTTGGTAGAATTCACCAGTGAACCCAAATGGGCCTGGTGATTTCTGCTCCGGAAGGTTATTAATTATTATTTTTTAATAGATGTAGGCCTATTCAAAGTGTCTATTTCTTCTTGCATGAGTTTTGGCAGATTGTGTCTTTCAAGGATTTGGTCTATCACATCTAGGTTATGAAACTTGTAGAAATAGAGTTGTTTATAGTATTCCTTTATTAACCTTTAAATGTCCATGGGACCTGTAGTGATGTCCTCTCTTTCAGTTCTGATATTAGTTATTTGGGTCCTCTCTTTTTTTCTTAGTTACTCTGGCCAGAAGCTTATCGATTTTATTGATATTTTAAAAGATATAGCTTTTAATTTCATTAATTTTGCTCTCTTGATTTCCCGTTTTCAGTTTTTTTGATTTCTGCTCTAATTTTTATTATTTTTCTTTTGCCTGCTTTAGATTTAATTTGCTCTTCTTTTTTAGTTTCCTAAGATGGGAGCTTAGATTATTTATTTTAGATCTTTCTTCTTTTCTAACATATGTGTTCGCTGCTGTAAATTATACCCAAGGCACTGCCTTACTGCATCCCACAAATTTTGATAAGTTGTGTTTTCATTTTTGTTCAGTTCAAAGTATTTTAAAATTTCTCTTGAGATTTCTTCTTTGACCCATGTGTTGTTTAGAAGTGTGTTGTGTAATCTCCACACACTTTAGGATTTTCCAGTTATCTTTCTGATACTGCTTTCTGGTTTAAGTCCATTGTGGTCTAAGAGCAGACATTGTGTGATCTCTATTCTTCTAAATTTGTTGAGCTGTGTTTTATGGTCCAGAATGTGGTCTATCTTAGTGAATCTTCCATGTTAATTTAAGGAAAATGTGTGTATTGCTGTTGCTGGATGAAGTGGTCCATTGGGTGTCCATTCTATCCAGTTGATTGATGGTGCTATTGAGTTCAGCTGTATCTTCATTGATTTTCTGCCTGCTGGATCTGGCCATTTCTTATAGACGGGTTTTGCTTTATATTATTTTGTCATCGAGATATTAGGTGCATATGAATTTAGAACTGCTATATCTTCTTGATGAATTGATTCTGTTATTTTTAAGAAGGATCTCTCTTCTTCTCTAGTAATTCCTTCCTCGTAAAGTTCATTTTGTTAGATATTAAGACAACTGCACCAGCCTCCTTTGGTCTTTTCCTGTTGGTGACGGGGACAGGGAAAGCTCAACGTCAGGCATTCTTATCAGGGTGTCAGTGTAATGGGTTATTGGCCAGTGGGGTTAGAGCGAGCTCTCAGGCGTAGAGGAGTGCGGACGACAGGAGCAGCCCCGCCGCTAGGGTGGACGCACGCCCAGGCCGGAGACCTGGCTCCCTGGATGAAGCCTGAGGCCTCTGGTAGGAGTCTCTGGATGTCCACTCTCCAGGGGCAGGGGAGCCCGTCCACACGGCCGAACGGGGGTAGTTAGGGGAACTGAGCTGGAGCCCTCTGCTGCGTCCTTCCTGGGTCAGGCAGCTGCCAGCAGGACAGCCGCCGTGTGGAGCCTGGTGGCGGCAGCGGCCTGGGGTCTCCTGGAGAAGGCAGCCCCTCTGGGGACCTGGCATTGGGGAGCCCACGTGCCCTGAAGGCCTCAGAACTGGGAAGAGAAAGCCCCCACACCTGTTACTAACAGAATTTAAACATGGGGCATGTTTCTACAACTATGTGCCATCTTCTCTGCTAAGCTGATGCACAGGTGGCTAAGAAGAGTTTTCCCTTTAAAAAGGAAACATCCAAAAAATGAATAAGTAGGGACTGTGAAACACTGGCTTCTTAAATATGCAAGAAACACACCGTGGAAAAAATGGTGTCTAAGAAAAAAATCAATCTGAAAAATTGATGAAACTAAAAAAAAATCAATCTAATGGAAGACAAACAATAAGATTTAAGACTATATTTTGAAATATTGATTTAACGTTGGCGTAGAGACATTAAGGCAAATCAACATCTTTAAGTCTTTGGGAACCCCTTGATCCGATTAATATTTTAGGCATCAGTTTAGAAGTGAGCGCTTTCTTAATGAACATACTAGTTATCTCTCCAGCGGGGTTAGTACTTTGTTAACTGGTCTGTTGGGTGCTAAATAAAAAATGCTTCTCATTGCACTTTAATTGCTTCACCCAGTATAGCACACTGTAAACTGGCCATATTTTCTCGGGAGGAACAGCATGCATTTGCCAGTGCACTGGTGCCTTTAAATGTCAAATATGTTATATTTATTACTTCCATAAATAGTATAAAAACAGTAATACGTTCATGATTAGAGATTATAGAAGTATAAATATTTCTTATGGTTTGTGTTATATAGTGAATTTTTCCCACTGAGTAAATGAACTGTAATCATATTATAAGCAAATTACTTGCCAGTATTAATTACGTCTCTATGTAGGCCACTTGGATGGTGTTCTGTGTGGTCCCCAGTGTTAAGCCTTGCTATTAGACCTTGAAGGGAAGGAGCAGTCCCTGAAAAAGAAAACTCCTTTCTCTTATCAAATACTGATCAATAATAGCATTTTTTCCTGTCGTATGTAATTTTAAGTCTTTTTTAAAAAGTAGACTTGGGGCCGGATGCTTTTTCACAGCTCATTTAGAAGCACACTTCTGCCATCATCAGTACCCAGTGGGCCTTGGTGTGGATAGTTAAAAACTGTGCATAAATGATACCACGCTTCATGAAAACATACATTGTTCATCCTTCCGTTTTCCTCAGAAGATTGTTTCCTGGGCCACAGCTGTGATGTGTATGCTCCATCACGTGGACACAGCCTGCCCTAGGCATCAGGGGTGGGCGCGAAGACTCCACCCCTGACCTGTGTTTAAAGACCTTTAGCTCTCAGGTGGGCAAACCCGTCACCAGGTTCAAAGGTCTTGTCACACACAAGGAGAAACCTGGCCTAGGAGGTTTCATTTGTCTAAGGTTTGCCACTGTCCCTTCCAGCTTTAAAATTTCCCGTTTCATCCATTTTGTCCTTTAATACTTATTTCTTTGGTCTGCATAGTGTATTCAACCCTTCCCCCAACTAATAGAGCGTGAGTAACTTCAGAATACAGCCGGGTGTTCTTAGTCCAAGGGACTTAGGGCAGTCAGAACCCAGCCAGGCAGGTCGCTGCCCACTCTCAGCCCCAGTCACCTTGCCTATGAAAGGAGAGCATCCGGTGCCCAGCAGCCCTGTGTGTGCAGGCACGGCGCTTGGTTCAGAGGCGATGCTGATCAGTCATTATCCATGCTCGTCCAGACTTAGGTCAGCCTGAGCGGCTAATTATAGTTAATAAGTACTGTTGCCAAGGTAACCTAATGTTCTTCTCTTAAGCATTTTTAAATGCATGCTCATTTGAGGAGATGATATTTTTGAGTAATTAAAAATAAATGTTAGGTCCCAGAGTGTTGGTGTCCTCGTCCTTCTGCCTCAGCTCCTGGGGTGTAGTAGAGAGTGCTTTCCTCTCTGGCCACCAGGGGTCTGGCTGATACCTTGGCCCACTGAGGACCAGAGACACTGGCCCTCGTGAGTGTCCTGGTCCCTCTAGTTCCTACAGAGCTGACCCAGGTAGGTGATGTCTTTTCTGTCCTTAGGCTGGGATAGCTGCGGGGGCATTGGGAGTCTTCTGCTGTTTCCTTCAGAGGCTCGCTGCTGTGGCGGCAGCTTCCACAGGCCTTGTGAGCTCTCACCATCCACCATCTTTGCATCTACCTGAGTGTCTATATGGCATAGACAAAAATAACCACGTTAGGGTGGCCCAGCAGTCAGAGACAATCAGAACGACCACTGATGAGGGAGCAGTGGTGGGCCAGCCAGGTGATTAATAACAAGTCTCTAAGGGAAAAGTCAGTTGTAGCCTCAAAAGGATGATATAGAACTAAACCTCTTGGATTAAAAATGTCACCGATGAAGCAGGGTCAGGCCTGGTTAGTACTTGAATGGGAGACCACCTAGGAAGACGAGGTGCTGTAGGCAAAAAAAAAAAAAAAAAAAGTCACCAACGCACTAGAGAGCTATCTCAACGCAGAATAGATACCGATGACGAGATCGTGGAGATGGAGGCAGACCGGGAGGAACAGACCCGAGAGAGGCAGCAGCTGAACAGACGATGGTAGGAAATTTCACAGCTGAAGAAAGTTGAAATTTTAAAGATTCTTTTACTAAATTCTCGATGGTATTGATGGGGGGGGAAATCACACCTAAGTTAAGTCTGAATAAAATTCCTGAACTCCAGAGATAAAGAGAAAAATTTTAAATGTGTCTAGATTCATTCTGGCCCCTACACTAGCCCACTTCTCACGTGTAGAAATTAAGCACCTGAGATGTGAATCTCAATTGAGATATGGCCTAAGTATAAAGTACATACCAGTTTCTGAAGATAGAATGGAAAAAAGATTGCAAAATTTGATAATAGTATTTTTATATCGATTGCATTATATTTGTTATGGATTATATTGATTAATCAACCTGTAACCAGTATAAAAATACTATTATCAAATTTGTATTTGGTATGTTGGGTTAAATAAAACATTCAGATGAATTTCACCTGATTCTTTTCATCTCTTTTTAACATAGCTACTAGGAAGTTTAGCTGCACGTGTGCTTGTATTGGCACAAGACAGGGCTTTCCTGGATCATGTGCTGGGTCATCTCTTCAACGAGCAGGACACATGGGGGGCACTTGCTGACGAGATGTCATTTGGGATAAAATTGGTATTTGTGTCTAGGCTGGAATTTAGAGGTTAGCAGGCTCGCATACTCTGAGGGTGGTGCTTGGGACCCTCGTGGAATTACTGGGCAGGCGATGAGAAGGAAGGGGAGTAGAGTGGGCACGCACATGTAAATGTGTCTTTTAAGTCTCACAGAGTGGGCAGGTGGCACCTGGCTTGTGTGAGGGCTGCCCGGTGAGGGCTCTTGACGTAGAGTAGACTCTTGCACTGGAGTTAGGAGAAGGTTCTAGGAGGGAAAGAATTCAGTGGGCTCAGCCCACTTCTGGCTCCGTGGGGCGGGGGAGGGGCAAGTGTCACCTGGGGGCAGGTGTGGGGGAGGTTACTGAAGGTCTCAGGTGATTGAGGCAGTGGGTATCCTAATAGTGTGTCTTGAGGGTAAGTTGTCCTATTGTCCGTGCTCTTGTGTAGGGGGGACAAAAGCTCAGGATGCGGGTGCGGGAAAGGGACGTGCTCATGTCATGTTTAAGCTTGCTGTGTGTCTGAGTAGGGTTTAGGGCCTCATAAGGTAGAGAACTGCCCAGTGAGAAAAAGCCCACCTGTAGAGAGCATGGCCAGGCGAGCACATTTGATTGAGCAGAGAGTTCCTTGGGGACTCCTGAACTGTTTGTTGGCCATGGGGGACTGATGACAGCTCTGTCACTCAACGTGTCCTGTATCTGCTGAGATGACTTGTGATGGGGATTCTTTTTCCAATTTACGTATGAGGCACAGTTAGTGAAACAGTTACTGATTATTTCTGTTTGGTTGCAGACACTTAGATTTATTTTGTAAAAATGCACATTTAGGTGATTCGGTCACCAATTTCTGTAGCTGATTACTTCTCTCCTTGTGTTTCAGATTTCTCTACGAGTCATCATCAAGAACTTTGGGAGCTTTTCTGAATTCATAACCAAGCCAGAATCTCTGGTCATGTAAAAATAGAGAAAAAGGACTTACGGAAAATTAAATGAATGTGTATTTTCCTAGTGTTAATTTTAATGTTAATAACACATAGTAGAGAAGGGGTGGGATTTATTGGAGAGAGGTATGAGTAGGAAGCTTGCCTTGTGCCTGCAAAATAATATATTTAATGATATCAGTGGTGCAGGAACCCACAGTGCAAAGAAAAAGCTTTCTAGCAAACCTGGTTGTTTTTAACATGACTTTTATCTATAATGCTGCCTGCAAACTGAGTAATAAAGCAATGGCAACATCTGTTTGCACACTTCATTTGAAAACACTAGCCTGAGTTCTCACCCTTAGGGGCAGGGGTTGGATTCTGGGCTAAACCTATCTACTCCTGGGAGCAGAGGGCACAGCAGTGCCGCGTGGGAAGGGCCGCACAGGGTCCTGGCCCCTCCTCTTTGGGTGTCTTGCTGCTGCTTCCCTAGGGGTCGAGACGGGCCCTGTGGCTATAAACGTGGGCAACACAGAATCAAGTCATGCAGC